GCATAAAATTTGGCACTAGTAGCAATAGTTGGAGAGGACAGACTCAAATTTGAGCCAGCATGGACATTCCAAGAGAGTATGAGGTCACAGTTGAGGTCACAGGCAAGGAAGTGTTGTACAGCTTACACTGTAGCTGCTTGTGTTGGAACTAAAAAGACTTATTTTAACTGCTGCCAGTCATGAGCACAAATATTCACTCAAAAGATTGAAAATGCAAGCCAGCCCCAGAGACTTGCATTATGTCATTGTATTAACTGAAAAAAACCCCAACGGGGCAAGTTGGGGTAGAAAGCCAGTCCGGATGTTGAGTTTAAGTTCTGATCTTTTTCTTGCCCTGTGGGTTTTTGCCAGAACCTTAACAGTACACAGTTTCTAGTAGCTTCAGTTGCTTTCCATTAAAAAAAAAAAAAAAAAAAAAAAAAAAAAGAGCACAGAGTGGTACAGTTAGGATAGTATAACAGATTTCTTCAGACCCCTGACAAAGCTGATAAAACATAAAATTAACAACTTATAAAAGTGGACTTTTGATTCAATAAAGCAAAGTGATATTTTAATATTTAGAGGTCAATTAGGTCAAGATATGACATATGCAGCTCCAAATCTACAAGCAATTTACTTGCTCCGAAAAGAGTTAATTATGGTTTCATCTACACTAAAATCCAGGTGTCCACTCCAAATTTAGGTCATTAAAAGTCAAAGAAACATCAGGAACATCATTTGTTACTTGTCCCTGACCCCTTTTTGTAACAAAACTACATACCATTACCCCCAGGGTATACTAATTGGTAGCAAGGCTGTTTGGAGAAGCAAATTATTTAAATTGGAATATCGACCACCCCACCCCTAGGACCAGATCTAGCCCATGGTGCTCCTCACAGGCCAGTTCCAATCCCACCGCTGGCAGTAGGGCGAGCACCCTGTATTGGCTGAGAGCCACAAGAATGAATGCAGCCATCATGCACCTTGCCACTACTGAAATGCATCCCCAATGGGCCTGTGTACCCTGGAATTCTGCAGTGGGCCCTGCTCCTGCTCATCCCACCCCCAAATCCCTAGCTCCTCCAAGTATCGTGTAGACCGGGTGACAAGTCCACAGATCAGATCTGGCCCATGGGCCAAAACTTTTAAGTGCTTAGAACTCTAAAACCAAATGGAATGTAACTAAGTACTTATAAAATATCACAACTAAAGATGCGTCAGGCAGGGCTTCATCCCAGGCTCTATGCATCTGCAGCTCTATAATGGAACAGCTTGAGACAAATGAAGCCTCATTCCAGAATACTCTATTAGCAGCAGTGGCCAACTTTTTCGGCAGGTGTGCTTCAAGATAAGCCCTAACCCTTCCAGAGTGATGTTCTAATGTCTTCCTTAAAGGAACACTTTTCTGAAATGTCAGCCCAAATTGTTCAAGTTTGGCAAAATGAAACTGCAGACAGAATTTTATTATGAAAAGGATGAAAGAGTTTAAATAACAGGTAGTGGTATTAACCACTTCTAAAATTAAAATGAAGATATTAAATGAACCTTGCTTTGTAAACAGGATGGTATGTCATAAAAATTAAATGCTGCTGTTTGAGGACATCTTTATAGAACACATGCAGGAAGTTTCCAAAGCTGGTGTTTATTTTAACGCATTGCCCATTATCTCACTTACAGGAGGAAAAAAATCCTTCATTATTTTAAATGTAGCTTTTTTTAAGAACACAAAGGCTTCTAATGCATTCAACTGATCAGTATAATTTAATGATCAAACTGAACAATGTGGCTTATTTAAGTTTCACTAATTAAAACTAAAGCTACTCGCACCACTTGAACAAAAAGGAGTAGAAATCTCGATTACAAATTCCCTTTCTGTGTGTTTTGCACTGCAGATGCACAAAGCCTAGGCTGAAATTCTGCATGCTCAATCTTTCTTGCAACACTAGAAATGTTTAAAATCAAATTCACTTTGTTTCAAAATTATAATTTTTGAAACAAAAAGACTGCACCACTAGTTTGATTGTACAAATAGACTGTTTCATGATGCATGCACACACAGACACAGCAGGAGGGGCAAATTAAGCATGCACAGGCAATCTTAATTCTGGTATTTCATAACTTTGAGTTCTTGACTTTGCAACCTGTGTTCGTTCATTCTTTCTTTCCTTCAAGAGTAAGGTTTTTTGCAGGCAATTATTGTAGCACTTATTTTTTTGATGAACATAGTTAATATGGGGCTTAATTCAAATCCAGCTTTACAACACATGCATTTGTACTTGACACTTGCACTGCTTCCTGTTGAACCAACAAATTTGCATAGGTCAATCAACTATACAGCGACTTTTCAGGCGTGCTCGTCTTCCACATCCAAATATGAGCAGTCTATTCAAACAGCAGTCGTATAGCCATGCAGGTACCAACAGTTCACCATACAGATCTTGTACTTGCTGTTTTGTGAGAAACTTTGAAAAAAGGGTTTTAGGATTGTACAGGAAATGTGGAAAAAGGAGCTAAGCCCCTGCTACACTGACTCACCTAATTCACTCCTGATCCATTTTTACAAAAAATTCTCACAACAAAAGGAAGTTAAGAGCTATCAATACTTGTGCTTTGCTCAGAAGCCAATTTTCTTCCATAATAAATGAAGACTTAAGAGTAGCAACAGAGCATGAGGAGTTGAGCAGGAATCAAACCACAAGGCAGGGCATAGTACTATATTGGGATGTATGCACATGCACATCCTCACAGAGCCTAAGTGGTTCAATCTAAAGGGCCCTTTCAGATGACGGTGTTTGCCTTTGTGTTCATCCTAAGAGTGCATGGTCATGGTACTGACCTGTTCTCAAAGCCTGAGATCAAAAGAACACCCTCAAGGTTTTACAGCACCCATTTCCAACAGACTCAGTGATCCCTTCTGTTGGGGTAGGGGGTGGTACACAATGAAAATCTGGAACTTTTGGAGTCCAACTTAAAAATATTTTATTGCCTAGAAGATTAAGCCAAATTTGATGTTTTCCAATTATTATGGGCCATATAATTCTAAAAATGCAATTCCTATAAAGGGAAATTACAAGTGCACATTTGTATTTGCTATTTTTACCAGATTGTTTCCTCCAGTGCAGAGACTATCATATGCAAAGCAAAGAGTTTCAGCCTCCAGCAGCCAACTTGGAGAAGGAGAATAGTGAACTAACATGCATTTTTCAGGAGTCTATTTGTTGCAGCTTTTTACTGAAGCTTTTTTGCTAAAGAGGCGCACACGTACACACAAAAATCCAAAAATGTTAGACGTCATGGACCTCATAAAAATAACAACAAACAATCTGTTACTCAAGAGCAGTAGCTAACATTCATCCTTAATATCAATTGATTTGTTTCACTTTTGTTCATATTTAAAATTCAAAATACACTTACTGTGAACTCACTGTGAGGTGGGTCAGAAATCAGTACTATGAAGCTAGTGCTGATTTCTGTCACTTAAGCATCGTGTTCATTTAGTGGTTTACAAAGGTTTCATTATGGTGCATTAGAGCTGAATTCTATTTTTAACCATAAACATCAAGGAAAAAATACTGCAGCAAACACCTTTAATATGAATACGAAATTCACAACAGAGATACATTCTGGGGAATGTAAATCAGCTATTACAAGAGAAATTCTGACAGAAAAGGAAAATAAGGAAGGTTCTGTCAGACTATGAATTTAATGAGGAATGATTAAAAATGTTTGATTTACAGGTACATTACATTATGTTAAGCACTGAAAAACCATTTTAAGAAACATCAACTGAAATGCATTTAAACATACAGTACATAAATCATACAATCCACATAGCTGTAAATAACATACCTTAAGTACTTCATTTTACTTAACAGAACACAAAGCAATGGAACTTGTGCAAATGAGGACTCCAATATGTTGAATTTAAAATGCCTATGATAAAATTAATATAGAGAACTTTACACTAAACAATTATATCACTGATGGAGAAATGAAACAAATACATCATCCACATTATCCCTGTTGCTAAAGCATGCTCTGCAGTTGAAAATCATACTGGCCCCCTATCTCTCAAAACACACATCACTCCATAAAGGTTACTGAAAGTTTTCACTTGGTCTAAAGTGTTCAAAGAAACATAGCATTTATGCAGTTCTTTTCCCTTGTTGGGAACAGAGACAAACCCCTGTCTTAACAGGGCTGTGTTGTGAATCACATACACTGGTTGAAAGTAGTATCTTATAAAAAGGCACATACCTGTGATTTAAGGCTATTATGGTATTTGTATCATACAGAAAGTAACGTTTAAAAATGAAATTAGTACAGCAAATGGTTGGCTTTACCTAGCAAACCACTTGAGGCAAAGCTAAAATGTGTGCTTAGAAGCTTCAGACTGACAGTGATTCTCACTTCCTTAGTGTTTTTGTTTTTAACATACAATGGAAAAATACAGATTCACCTTTTAAAAAGGTATTTGCTGCAATTCCATGAGTCAGCCAGCCATCTAGTACAGCTGTTGCCTCTCTGCAGCTACTGCACAAAGGCTTTATATTATTAATCTGCAAAATATTCTTTTTACTCTCTCCTTTTTAAAACACAATTACATGAAAATGAATCATTAAAGGTGTTTTCTATATTCATATACAAAATATCAGATGTTGGTACAAATCATGTAAACCTCCCTTTGGAAATATTTTGACTAGCCACCACAATGACCAGAAACCACAAACATCTTGTCAGTGCAAATCTATATTAGATTTTTTTTTCTGAATTACAGAAATAGCCATCAACCCTCACATACAAAAAGGAGTGCTCTAAATTTGAAATGACAGAAATTATATGTTTGGTTACCTTAAAGCCACCCACATTCCCACCAAATTCAATTTTACAGTATTACAAAAGGGAAGAAAATTAAAGCTATTTGTGCAAGAATCACTACAACCATCCTTCAACCCCAACCCCTTAATTCTTATTAGATATACAGATTCTAGGTTAACAATGGGTCCTCTTCTCTGTATTGATTACTGTTCTTCAAGCCAAGATGGAGCATCTACTCCAGGAGTTTTCAATTTGATGTGGAACTGTTTAAGCGTCTGTTCAAGCTGCTTCTGATTCCCAGCGAAGTACGCTGCAATGGCATTGTGGAACAGAACGAGCTGATTATGCAATACCTTAACCTGTGGACAAGGACAGAGAGAGGGTGGTTAAGACAGAGACACATAACTGACGCTTCAGGCTGCAGATGAGAAACCTAATTAGATGCATTATTTTAAAAGTTCAGACTAAACCAAATAGATTCTTCAATATACAGACTTATTATTTCATACACATTTCCAACTTCTTGTGACAGCATTAGGGTCTATTGGGGTCTATTCTTCAGAATTCAACTCTCCATTTCGGCATTTCTGCCTTTCACAATGATGAAATTAATGTAAGCGAGAATTTGTTTTAAAGTATTAGCATGCTGCTTTGATGTCTTTCAAATTGGTGTCTGACCATAGTCCTATATTTAAGTGGGAAGGGTTCTTTGGCAGAAAATAGCATAAAGGTATGTTTTGTTAATATCAGCCAAACATGCCAGCATTCTCTCATGATAAAAAGCAACTACACTTAAGTAAGAAGTATGGTATGCCATATAGTATTAATTCAGCTTATACTGTGGTAAGCTATATATCCTCTCCAACTTCCCTTTCAGATTTTGAGTTCTTAACAATTCTTTCAAAGCAAATAATGAAGAGAAATTCAAAGTTTGAGAAAACAAAACCAAGTACTTTGTTACACCCTGGCCTAAGAAAGTTAAAATTATTCACATTGCAACAATGCATCTCAATTCTGACTTGCAACTACCATGCCATTTGAGTTTGTGCCTCCTTAAAACAGAAAGGGCACTTGAATGGAAATGATCACTGATTTTGGGGTAAACAAATGCCTATTAGAGACTAAACACAAACCAGATTCAGTTTTCCTTGTAACTTAATGAGCATTTGAACAGAAGGCTTTAGAGATAGAAAGAATAGCACAGAAATCCACTGCATACCACTCACTTCCTCAATGAAAATCCCCTTCCTAATGTTAACTCCCACTGTGCCTCTAACTGAATTATCTCCTTCTAAGTCACTTAGGACGCATTCATATTTTACACGTCTAATTATACCAAAACCTTGATAGTGTCTAACATTCATTTAACACATGAGCAGGACTACTCATACATAACACAGTGTAGAAAAACAGTAAAGGACCCCCCAGTTCTGAAAAAAATGGGAACTAAGATGGCCATGTAGATTAATAGGCAGCCCTTTCTGAAACAGACACTTAAGTCTTGCATACGCAGCAAGAGAAAAGAATGTCGAGCTACGTCCTCTCTAGTTAAACGGTCATCCTACAAATGTATACTCCCCACTAATCCCCCCTTCAGGAACTGGCGTTTTAAGCCTACTTTTGAAATACTATGGCTGCCTGAGTAGGTTGCAATTACTCACTGTCCCAGTCCCCCAATCCACTCAACAGCACAAGCTGTCAAACTCCAAGTACTTTTATACAACTCATTAAAAATAGGAACCAAATAAGCGTACAACTCCTAAGTACTTGTGGGTCAAATCTATTCATGCTTGACATTTCTCCCATTTCAAACAATGCACATGACAATTCAGTTAAGTGCCTGTCTGTCTTGTTTATCTACTCTTGAGAAAGCAGCCATTTTCCAGTTTTTAATACATCCTGCTTTATTTGAATCATAGGTCTTTCTTTTACAATCAGCATTCTGTTCAATCAAATATCTCCCTGCTAATACAAGGTTGTTTTCTGTAGTACTATCATTTTGGGGGCTTTTAAATTCTTATACTTCACTTATTAATTGTGCAAATAACCACGGAGACCTTGAATCATAATAATTAAGAGTCTAGGGAAAACACAAGGATGAGTCTGCAGATATTCAGTATCCTTACGCTTTCGCTGTCAATTGACTCTTTGTTGAATAGGGCTGTAGTGCATAGACTGACAAAGCTAAACCCAAGTAAGATAGTAACTTGACTGACTCTCACTATCAGGTTGGAGGATTGAAAGAACGTTATAAACAAGTACATTTGGCTGACAGAATAATAAACGTGAATTTCTGAAATTCAGGCCATTCAATGAAATTACTATTTTAGTCATTAAAAAATTCTTAAGCAATGAGTTTAAAAATCAAGTCAAAAAAGAAATTTGAAGTATCAAAGTCCACCTGCCGATCTGAGGTTTTATTCCCTTTCTATGATTTTACAATTTACCTTTCTTGGCTGTGTAAAGCTGAAAATCAAAAGCAGCAATTCAAACTGAATCAGAGAAAATGAATATACACAATTTACTGTCAAATGCATAAAGAGTATAAGCAGAAGATATACATTTTTTAAAAAGGAACATGAAGCCTCTAGTCTCTAACTTAGTCTTTTTAATTTAGTTACCCTATTAAAGTAACTTTCAGGTAGACATGATAGTGTCCATTCATACACACTTTAGCATCTTTTACTGACTTCCAGTATATTATCAGGTTAGCAAATAATAGTACGGTGTCCCAATTTTGCACCTGGCTATAAAGAGACACACCTGCATCCACACAGAGTCACACTGAAGTCAACGGGGATATATGGGTTGCAGAACTCTGATCACCTACAGCAGGAGCATCTAGTTCTGCAGTAGCCACAGTACAGTATTGAGCTCATGCATAAAAACGATAGATAGATAAGACAGATAGATAGATTTGGATTCCAAATTTGTCCTGATGTTCATAACCTGGGAATGTTTTTTCTTAAAGCTATCCTTTTTACACTATATATATATATACATATATATATATAGTGTAAAAAGGATAGCTTTAAGAAAAAACATTCCCAGGTTATGAACATCAGGTCAAATTTTGAGTCCAAATAGATAAATACAAGAGACAAATATGTGTGTACACACAATGTACACATACTCAAGAAGAGGACAAGGGCATGAAAAGAAGTGGATTCCAGTGCAAAGGATTTCTCATATTTCAAAGACAGCTCAAATTTGATTTTACAGAAAGTAGACAGCAAAAAGACATGCATGCTTAAAAATGAACAAACAAAAAATCCACACAAAATAACAATGCCCCTCCCCTGCCCAGGCATTTCCTTTCAACAAATTACATTTTCCCCAAAGGCTATCAAAATCTGTATAGTGCCCTCTTAATGTTTCTACTTTATAAGCAGAGGGTCATCAAGCTTCAAGAATAGATTTTCATTGATCTGTGCAAGCTGCTTTCTGAACTGGAGCAAGAAGAGGTCACCACTAGCTAATGGTTTCCCATTGAACTCAGGCCTCATTGATCAAAATAGGACCCACCAAAGGCATTCAGAAGCATAATCAATGCTGGAAGGCATAAGTTTCTCACATTCCTAGCAAGAAAAAAAAACTCATTAAAGAAAAGCAGGTACACTTAGAAACAAAAGAAATGTTACGTACCTAGCACAGTTGGGAACATGGGATAAGAAATATATTAATAGCAATTTCTCAGAATAAAGCTTACCTAGACATTAAACATCCCACTAAGTATCTAACCATCCTTGCTCAAGACCAACTATAATTTTACAGAATGTGACTGCTGTTTAAAACTATGGCATCCTTGTTTTCAATTTGTTACATTTTTCCAGGAAGTGTTAGTATATATCAAACAAAATAAACATTTCATTACAATACAAAGTGATTTGTCTTGGCTTAAAGGAAAGAAATTCAAGAAAAACAAAAACACCTTGTCCTTAAACCCTCTGCTGATCAGGAATTGCAGATATTTCTTGTAAGCCTGGTGTAAGATCACAGGACTCCTGTCAGCCTCACTAACTTTATCTTAGCATTTAAAAAACATGTTAAGAGATTTGCCTGGTCTAAGCTGATACTTGTCTCACTTTGTAGAGACAAAACAACATAAAAGGGGAAGACTTAGAGGACTGGTGTAACAATTACAGAGTTGAGGATCAAACCTGGTTCTCTGCTCTATGAGACAGCTCATTCCATTGTCTCTCAAATTCTAGAGACATGGTAGAGAAGCAAAATAATGTAAAATTAAGAAAAGCATCAACCCTCCCAGTCACTCAGATCCAGACTATCTGAATTGAAAAGTAGGAGGAAAATAAGTGACATAATCAGTAACAAATGGATCAGACTGAAAACTAGACAATGCAAATGTACACATCTGCTATTTTGTGAAAATTCACCCCAAACTCTCAATGCCCCCCAAAATTCCTGAGTGACCAAACAGGGTTTTAAATAAGGTTTACATATCCAATTTTTAGACCACAATTCAGAGTATAAAGGTGAACAGCCTAAAACAGCTTTTACTAGTATGTCCTAATTAGTACGTCAAGTAACATTAAATTATGAGAAGTAAAGTGTGTTTGTGTAAGAGAGACCACAGATAAAATGGGGAATTACTTTGGTTGCATAAGAGTAGTACCTGTATCACTTGGTAAGACTATCAAATATTAACCTACCCAGAAAATGGGATGTCAGAAGAAAAATATCCTCTTCCCTTCAGTTTACCTGTGACATTTGTCTTGGAGCATAGCCACACAAATTCCAGTTAAAAGGTGTATCAGACCAGAGTACAACAAACTCCTTGACACTACTACAATAGGCTTCACATTAATTATCCACCAGCATTGAAGCTGAAAAGCGTAAAGTTTTAAGTTAAACCTAGGTCTCATTCAACTAAATAAAAAACTGAAGCATTAAATAATAAATATTCTCTTACAGTCTTACTCATGGACTTCTTATATTTAAACTTTTTATTTATATGCCACTCCCTGAGAGACCCTGTCATTATTTGACTAGTCTTAGCATTTGTTATTGTTTGAGTAAATGCGGGGCTCCATGCTGTTTTAGCTGCTCTAACTGAAGTGAAAACCAAATGGTACATATACTAGACACACATTTAATGGAACAGAAACAGAATTAGAGTGCAGCAACACCTCCAGATTTCAAGAACCGTTACTTAAAGACTACCACATTTATTCTGTGGGAAGCCACAAACAATACTTTAGTCTCATTCCCTACTCTGTGAAATACCCATCAATGACAGTTTCCTCAAGCAGAATACTAGTTGCAACAGAAGCACCTTCACACTGGGGTGATAGCCAGAAAAAGACTTGACGTGAAAGGAAGAGTCAAGATTTAATAAAGG